TTTCTTCTTCATTAATATTTATTCTTATTATATGCTAATGCCCGTTAATTTTATTTATAATTTTAAAATAACTAAGAATTTCTATAAAAGCTAATAAGTAGAAAACATTATAAATAAATGCAAGCTAAGCGATTTTTCTCGTTTAATTTTACATATCTCGTCATAAAGTGGTTGGAAAAGGTTTAAAAACGGCAAACACTGTGAGAAACTTTTAGTTGGGGCAAAATATTTGAAAAATGGAATTTATTACATGTTAGGCATTCTAAATTAATATAGAATAAAACCATTTCGGTAAGACTAGTGTTGCCCAAAATCGGTCTTGGTCTTGCACTTTGCAAGACCAAGACCAATACCAGGACTGGTAAAAAAATCGATTTTTTAAATAAAAATTAAGGCAAAATAGTAACTAATACTTGACAATCTTAGTTACTATATGTTAAAAATTAGTATAAACAATAAAGATTTGCATTTAACTCCTCTAATTTTTCATTCGGGCTTACTTAGGTTTGTCCTATCTAAAAAATTGCAGTAATATCTCTATAGTAATAAGCTAATAAGTAACTACAAGAATCTTGCGCAAGACCAAGACCATGACCAAGACTGAGTTTGCAAGACTAAGACTCGTCTTGGTCTCGCATTTGGGCAACACTAGGTAAGACCAACCGTTATTGTTATTCCTCATTTAAAAAAAAAAATAAAATAAAATGTATTTGGCCTGTAATATGTTGTAAAAATAAAAATTACTATTTAAATTTACATTTACTATTAAAATTCTGTTAAATTACTGAATCAATTATAAATATCTATTAATATTAAGAGGACATAGTGTTAGAGAAGAAAAGTAAATCATCATAAAACAGAATGAAGATAATGGTAGTGAGCTGAAAAAATACCCCAATATCAATTATGAGTCACGAAATCGTTTGGATTTCTCTTCAATCTTTTCCTTAAAATTTTCTTACAGTTATTTTTTGTTTTTATCTGTTTCTTCTTTTTTATGACGGTAAAGAATAAATTATATTAGGTATACATTTAGTTAGATGCAAGTAGGAATTATTTCTTACTTGTTTTTGGTAAAATTTTCTTGAATGAAATTGCCAGATAATCACCTTAATCTCAAATTATCGCAGCTGATTTTTCCATTCATCATTATCAGAGGGTCCAAAGAACATTTTGCTTACTGTAAGACCTTGGCGGTCGTTTTTCTTTTTCTTGACGGCAATTTTTGATTTTTTTTTTCTATAAAAAATGAAAAGAAAGGTTATTGAATAAAATCAGAAAGAAATGTTTCCTCCTCTAGAACTGATCATTCTCACGTTCATTCCACCGACAGACCTCCTTATTATGACAATCAGGAAATGAGATGTCAAAACAGGAAATTATGACAGGTCAGGCATGGGAAAGGAGAGTATCCAGCATTAAATACATCTTCCCTGACTTGACCCAGTTACTTCGGTTGATTAAGAAAGGAGATCTCACATCCACCACCTTATTAGTCTCCTCCTCGTATTCAGAGGTATGTCAGCTGTAGCCATGCCTCTTATCAAACTGTTGTAATGTCCAGTATACATTAGTACTAAATCGTTGGTGAAGGTATATTAGACTGTTGGTAGGTGGAGGTCGGTCTGTAGAGTTTTGTTAGTCAAGTAGCAAAGCCTTCTTGTTATGAGTCATAATAATTTTTAACGGTAGGTTTGAATTTTATGTATGTTTTCTTTTTTTTTTACTTTCCTACCTATACTCGGTAAGGAAAGTATTTCAATCGGGTCAAATTTCCGACACGCGGTTTTCGACGAATCTATACGTTTCACAGTCATCTGAGTCCGAAAAACACTTTTTTAGCCATTGGTCTGTCTGTCTGTCTGTCTATGCCAAGATTTTCTCGGGAACTACTGAACCGATTTTGTTGCTTCTTTTTTTATTTTGTAGGATTATGCCTACTGATGTCTGTGACAGATATCCGTTGCTCCATGCGCAATAGCTTGCACGTGTTTTTCTATAGACTGTAGCGCGAAAACGGCTCTAACGATTTTGATGAAACTTTTCTATGATGTTCTAATCATTGTCCTTTCAATTTTCGTATATAGACTAAATTCCCCAAAAACATCAGGAAAAAAAGTTATAAAGAAAAGAAAAATGTTATAGGGTATTATTTATAAAATGTTATATATATTATACGGTAAAATTTATAATAAAACTTTTGAAAGGTAATTAAATTACCAACAAAACAAAAAAAAAACATCGGTATTGAACCAGTATTAGCGATGATACAGCTTATTCTATTTTTATGCATTTTTTTTAACTTATTACTTTCCTACCTATACTAGGTAAGGAAAGTATTGCAATCGGGTCAAATTTCCGACATGCGGTTTTTGACGGATCTATACGTTTCAGAGTCCCCTGAGTCCGCCATTTAGCCTGTCGTTTGAAAGGTAATGAAATTCCCTACAAAGCCATATAAAAATCGTTCATTGTGGACAACTATTCAATTTCAAATGTAAGATTACGGTTTCATATCCTGGTGCCAGAAAGGGGTGAATGAGAGAATAAAGATGACTAAATGAAAGTAAGAAAATCTGTTGCCCGCATCACATAACCTTCACGATTTCCTATACTATCAACAGAAATTATTTTTTGCCAATACTAAGCTATGCCAAAAAGTTTTTGATCAGCAATATTAGGAAGTATTGAAATTATTACACTGATCTATCTTAAGCCGGTTTACATTGCTTTAGTTTATCAAATAAATCGTACTCAAATCTTATGTTTGATTAATTTTCAGGAAAATGAATCTAGTTCAATTATTTTTTGTTTCTTCATGAACATATGTAAAGATATAAAAACGTTTTGAAATAGGTAGGTAAGTCGTGTGAGTGGACACACCAGATTTTTTTTTTTTGCGATACCGTATCTGTGATGAATATATCCGTAAGAGTTTATCTAAATATGTAGGTATTCAGTTTCTGCCACAGTTTCAGGTTTAAGATTTCGAAATCCTTACAATCCAAAATCATTCGTAAAATCTTCAATGCTCGTTACTTAATCACAAACAAAAAGAATCATAAAGACCTCGATGTATCTTATGTTTCCGATTTGGCCCAATTCAGATACCTCTTTTTCCATAATAAACTTCTGGACCATTCGAATCCTCTAGTTTCTAACCTTGCATCCTTTCCAATCCCAAATAACCCTCCAAAGCGTCTGAAAAGAAGAGTGCTACCAATGGGTAGTTTGTTTTAAAGTTTTCTCATGTTATTATATTATTAGTTATCACATTTACTAGATGTATATTTGTTTTTATACGGTTGTAAATTTCAGAAATAATAAACAATTTTTTTAGAAAAAAAGTGGGTTAAGCAGTTTGTTGAGTTATTTTATTCATCAATTTATTTATTGCAGAAATGTTAACTAATAATAATGAGCAATTGCTTTAAATTGAGATGGATGTCCTCTTTGACATGCGGCATGATCTCCATTTGCCGTATTATGGCTATTTCAATAATAAATCAATCCATTCCTTGTAAATAAATTTTCAGAAAAAAGATATAGAAGTATTTTTTTTAAGTTTTATTTTTATGCTTCGAGATTTTCAACATGAGTTGATTGCAAAAAGCATTCAATATGCATTCAAATATAGTTTTCATTATCAACTGCCGCCAATTAAATTTAGTTAATAGCTAAATATTCTAAACTAACATTCTGAAAAAAAAAACCTCAATTGCTTTAATTTAAAAAAAAAAACAACGTTAATATCAAAAGTAAAAACATTCAGTAAGTCGCTTTAAATAATATGGATCAATTTACATATTAGAGATGTGTGCGAAAAATACTGATGCATTATCTCTTTAAATGATAAATTTTTGAGAAAGTATTATTTTTTTTCTTTAATTTTGCATACATTTAAAGTGTAGTTTCGTAATTAATTTGTCACAGTACATCCATATTCATTGGAAAAAATAAATCACAGCTTTATTTATTGTAGCTTTTTTAGCTGAAACACAGGTTTTCTGAAGAACAATATCAAATATGAAAAATATTTTTTTTTTACAAAATGAAAAGTGAACTTATTTCGCAAAACATTCAACTTAATCAATTCGGATTTAAATATTATTAAACAAAAAAGTTTGACTAAAAGTTGTGTATCTGTAGTATAGTTGAAGGCTGATTGAAAAAAAAATTGCAAATGATCCACAATTTTATGAAAAAGAAACTTTTAGCGTATTTTATTCGCTTAAAAGTTCTCTTTAAACAGTCCTAACGAAGATAAACTCTTCTTGCATTGAAAGAAAATTTTATCTAGTTTACTCTGAAGGGATAATTAATTACCAAAAATAAATTATTTTTTATTAGTTATCTCTTCTTATATAACAAAACATTTTAAGTGGTCTTTTAAAACACAAAAATTAAATTTCTTGTTTTTTTTTTGTAAAATTGAGCAATGATTTTTGTAATTCTTGAAGTTTACTGTCACTTTTTAAAATATTCCTTTAAATCTTAATAAAAACTTTTTGGAATAAATTAGCTAATTTCTAGTTAGTTCCTTCTCAATCGAAATATTTTTTATCTTCTCGTGGTCAACAAAACTGTATGTTTTCTTTTATTCGAAATATAGCTGAAAAACTGTACTTTATACTTTATACTTTACACTCTACTTTATTGAATCGATAAAGTATATTTGAAATTAATACTAGTGTTTTTATAAGTTAAATAAAATAAATCGATGGGGTCCACTAATCCTCACGTTGGTATAGAAAAACATTTCTGTGCCAACCTTGGCAGAGGTTCAAAACTTCTATTAAATAAAGATGTTCTAATTAACACAGAAGGGTTATTTACCGGACGAAAACAGGCTTGGTCATTGACATCATTTCATGAATGATATAATAATTTTAAATAATAATATTAATATCTTAATATTAATTATCGTTTCATCATAATAGACTATCCCTCCAAAGTCCTTTGATAGAGAATCCGTCTAAAATCCTTTATGTTGCTGAACAATGCATCGATTGTCTAAATATGAGAACAGTAAGATCTTTACAAAGTTAGTGGTCTTAAATTATCTAAGATACTAAATTACATGATATAGACTAATTTTTCATTTTTTTTCTTAATTATTTTATTAAAGTCTTTAAAGATTTTGAAATTTTCTTTTTCAGTATGCTTGTATTTTTTGGAAGTATATACACTGACAGGCGAAAAATTCCACCCACTTGATTTTTTCATCTAAAAATATTTCTACTTGGATTGCTCTATTGTTTTTAATGAATAAATAGGTAATCTTTTTGTTTGTTTTCAATTAGGAATGTTAATATAGAGGACAATAACCCTTAATCCTTAATTCAATGAAATGATTCTAGATTCCAATGTTTACATTCTATGGAATCAAAATGTTTATTCAGTATCATTAGTTCAGTGCCGTTTCTTGCAGCACATTTCTTAGTCTCCGGCTTTTAATTTTTTCAATATTAAGTTTAAAAATGCCTCTTAGTGCTGAGGATGTAGCGCGTGGTGTGGCATTTATTGATGATGGACGTTCCATTAGATATGCAGCTAATGCCATCGGAGTTCCATATGAAACTTTACGAACTTTATGAAACTTTACCAGTTTTCGGGAAACTGGTTCTTACAATAGAAGGCCCGGTTCTGGACAGCCTAGGGTAACAGAACTACGGGATGACCGGTTTTTGACTTTGAGAATCTTACGAAACCGGCACCTTACCGTTGTTCAAGCGATTCATCAGCTCGAAGAAGTTCTAGGTGTGCAAATTTCTGAACGTACCGCTCGGAGAAGATTAAATGAGTATGTATTAATGGCTTTTCGTCCAGTAAGAGGACCAGAGTTGACCAGAACTCACAGAGTAACACGGCTGGCTTTTGCTCGAGAACACAGCCATTGGACTATGGACGAATGGAGTGCTGTACTTTTTACAGATGAGTCAAGATTCGCTCGTCGATCTCCAGACGGGCGTGAAAGGGTGTGGAGAAGAAGAAACGAAAGATATGCAGCCTGTAATTTTTCCAAGAGCCAACCTTTCCAACGTGGTTCCTTAATGGGTTACAAGTGGGTGGAATTTTTTGCCTATCAGTGTATTTTCGTAATTATGTCGGCCAATTTCCATGATTTCTAATTAATAATCAGATGACCGTGAACATTCTTTTTTTGTGTGTGTGAACTTAAAGATACATTAAAGTTACAATTTATTTTTAAAACAACTTTTACTATCTTTGAAGTATTACAGAAGATATAAGTGGATCGAATTAATTATATAAGGGATTAATTATATTTTTACTGTTTCATACATTTGGCATTTCTTACTGTTATGAAATTATTAATATATGGTTTTATTGAATTATTTTGAATTCTTGACATTTTAACTTTTTACATGGCTATCCTTTTAACTATTGTGATTACTATTCAATTTTTAATCGATTCTTGTGGTTTTTTTTGGTTGCTTATTTATCATTGAAAACAATAGAGTAGCATAAACCAGAGGCATAGGTTTATGAACGATAATAGATGATTTAGACGGTATATTATTTGTACTGTCAATTACCTTTATAGGAAGAGGAAAAATTGAAATCTGAATTTTCAACGGAAAGACATGTTTTGTAAATGTATGGGACGTTACATCAATTTTTTCCATAAACATCGGCTTCCTTTCATGTCAACATAGTGGTTAGTTTCACTAACAATCTACCAAATATATTTCTGTAAGTTTGCAAATACATTCCCTTTAGGATGGATACAATTATTATTGTATTCTTTTTTTTTTATTCAATTGTTTGTTTTTTAGAAAAAATACATTTTGCCTCAATCAAGGGCATTGAGTATTTGTGATACAAGAAACTCATTCATACAGTAGATACAATTAGAAACATAATAGAAATTATAACAAAAATAAGAAAAAGAAAACTTAGTAAAACAGATGAAATTAAAATATGATACAACACAAACAAAAAAAAATGAATAAAAAAGAAAAAAAAATATTCATGCATATTTACAATATTTACAGTCAGGCGAGGGAGCTCCAAGTCGGGCCCTCTCCCCCACGTGTAGAAGATAAGGCAAGACTCTAAGAGACCCCAGCGCTTTTTTCTTAGCCGCATCACTGAGATGGGGATTCAGTGGAGACTAAGAAAGGGCACTAAGCGACATACGCTCATGAAGTGAGTGGAGAAGCTGGCCATTGCCAGGACTCCAATGACGTAATTACAAAAGATCTCGAGGCCACTGCCTTTTTAACCTTCGAGGAGGATTGTAGGGATGTCTAGAGCTGGATAAAGATTGTGCTAAGGGATTAGGATGATGGATTAGGTTTTGATGAAAATTTGAGAAACGGGATGGAATAACGTCAAGGTCATGAAAGGTTTTGTTCGTAACATAATAAGGAGCAATGACTATTATACGCAGGACTGTAGATTGGAAGGATTGGATGCGTTTAATGTTCGAAAACTTAGTTGTCCCCCACAGTTCAAGTCCGTAGGTCCAGATGGGTTTCAGTATGGTCTGGTATCTTAACACTTTGTTTTCAATTAAGAGGTTAGATTTTCTGTTAAGTAGTCTGTATAACTGGCCAAATCTTCGGTTAAGTACTTGTCTTTTAAGTCTGGTATGTGTGTTAAATGTTAGTCTTTTAATTCAATTATTAAATTTGATTATTACAGTTAATAAGAGCAATTAATATGTTCTATAAATGATAATTCTATAAGAAAGTTATCAATTGATGATGATGACGGATTGGTTGCCCCCTTAGGCCAGCTGTCCGTGCTGCTGGTTGGAGCGGCTTACTGCTGGTTCGAGCCGATCACGCTGCGCCTCACCCAGGACCCAGAACTCAACCTGACCTCGGACGATGTTTCTTGGCTGATATCCATCATAGAATTAGGCTCGGTCGCAAGTCCTATGGTCGCAGGATACTTGTCCGACAGGTAAGCATGACGTAGAATTTTATATGATTAGTATTATTAATAGGTGTGTAAATGAAAAACACTGAAAATATCACACAATGGTTTATTATTTCCAAACAGTTAGATGTCTTACGTAACATTATTTCACATAGAGGAAAGTAAATGAAAGGTGATTTTCAATATAGTCCTACATATTCTTTTTTTTCATTATTAGTAATTTACTAAGGAATATATGCAACAATCTCGATTGCTACAGGTTATTTACAATAATAAAAACCAAGGCTATCAGCTTTGCATCCAAACGTGCAGAAGTTATTTAGAATACCATTGCAGCAGATCATGTGATTTCAACTACTTTTGTTTGTATTTTTGGAAATTTAAAATACTTTCAAATGGCTATGTGAATTATATTATATTGATAAATTCAAAGGGCTTCGAAGAAGGAGGCTTTAGCCAAGTTTAATTGAAATCTGTACATTCATTTAGGCGCAACAGTCTACGTCAGGGATCTTTAAACTATGGCCCGCAAAGACCGTTCATCCAGTCTGGGAAACTTTATTTGAACACAAGAAAAATTCTAAAAACTATTTAAAAATATGAAATTTCACAAATTACTCACACACGAGACACTACAACTTTTATTGCATGTTGTTAAACCATTGGCGAAATAATAATAATAATAAAAGGTTTGGCGAAACCGAAGCGTAGAGAAAATGTGGTAAAGACGAACTTACCTCCATATAACTATTGCCCAAGTGACAGAATGTTATATTATTCAATTAATAATTTTTAAAAAATTTTGCGACTCATAACAAAAGCACCTTGGTACGTGACTAACAAAACTCTACATACTGACCTCCACTTTCCAACAGTTAGTTGACCAACATATAAGGATCCTTTATCAACGATTTTATCACAAATTTAAGTGGACATAATAACAGACTAATAAGAGACATGGCCACAGCTGACATACCCGAGAACATGAGAAGGAGACTTAAAAGGCGTTGAATGAGGGATCTCCTATTTTATACAACCTGAGTAATTGGAACAAGTTAGGGAAGAGGTACTGCTGAGTACTTTCCTTCCACATGCCTGTCATGTCATTATTTCATGTATCGCCTTCACATTTGCTGATTGTCAATAATAAGTTGACAGGCGCAAATATATATTTTATAGACAAAAAAAAAAAGTATAAGAGATGAATCATTTAAATATTTCGCATATTTTGTGAAAATTCTAAATGCATTTTTAAAAACACATTCAATATGTATTACATGAATAGTTTTCAGTAAAATACATGAGAATTCAGTTATCAATGACTGTTCCCTTCCAGAAATTAATTATCAATTATAATAATGTAATGATATTGGGGTTTTCAGATGGGGAAGGAAATTGGTAATGCTGAGCGTGGGGCCTCTGTGCTTGGCCGCGTGGCTGCTGGTGCCACTCTCGATGTCGGTGCTGTGGCTGGGAGTGGCACGGGTGATACAAGGCCTCGCCACTGGAGTGGCCTACACCGTCCAGCCCATCTACGTCGCAGAGATCGCAGAGCCCAAGCTACGAGGGAGACTCAACGGCACCTTCCAGACCGCACTTTACCTCGGCACTCTCTTCGTCTTCTGCATCGGCCCCTACATGTCCTACGAGAACTACGCCTACGCTTGCCTACCGATACCTTTTATCTTCACCATATTTTTCTTGTTCTGTCCTGAGACACCCTACTATCTCCTCATGAAGGGTAAGGAAGAAGATGCGAGGAAGGTTTTAAGGTATTTCAGGGACACTCCGGATATAGAAGAAGAACTAATCAAGATGAAGGTGTCAGTCAAGGAAGAGATGTCCGATACCAATGCCTGGAGGACACTCTTCTTCGACAAGCACGAGAGGAAGTCCTTCATCATCGTTCAGATCGTCTGCGTCGCCAAGTTCATGACCGGGATGGCTGTTATAATCAACTATGCCGTGGAGACCTTCTCGAAGAGCGAGTCATTCTTGCCTCCTGAAGAGATGTCAATTATACTTGCAGGTGAGGTATTAAGTCAAAAACCTATCTATTCCAGACCTGTATTCCTCATAGATTTGGTATGTGCTAGATAGGCCTCACTTAATCTGAAAACGCATATTTACCTGATTAAACCGCAAAAGTAAATTAATCAAAATGCAAGCATATCACTTTCACACTCTGACGCAAATACCGTTCCATATTTTTTTAAATCTTCCCTTTTAAGATACAGTTTGGTAACTTGACTTGCTTCTGAATGAAACAAGAGGTTCATTCATCTCAGAGTTAAAAGACAAGAACATAACCGTATAAATTACTTTCATCGTTCAATTGAAAACAAAATTCTAATCTATAATATCTTACTGAAACCCATCTGTATCTGCGTACTTGAACTTTGAGAGTCGGCTAAATCTTTCAACATCAAATTTTCCCAATTCTTTCGGTCCAAAGTTCTTCGATCAATAATAAGTCACGAACTAAACCTTACATCGTGACGTCAACATTCCATTTCACTTTGACGTTACTTCGTTCAGATTTTAAAGATTTTTCAAGCCTTATTTATCATTCTGGTCCCTTATCACAAACTCTGTCCATTTCCAACCACTCATATAATAGTCCGTGGTTGACAGCTTTTAATAAAATTATTATCATCCGCCTGAAACTTCGTAAATAGTTTCGTCTCATCGTAACATACTAGTTTATTTACGAAAACTATGAAGATTGAAACTTTTTCAATCTGGAGGGTTTCAGACTTTGTCTATTTAATTAGGTACTAAAAACTCGTAAATACCCATTTGCTTTCAAACATATTAGACCGTTTGGCGTGATCTACACCCCCCAAAATGTCGAAATAACGACCCAATATTTTATAGGCCACCTTTTTTTCTCAATATTTTATCAAATGATCCAAGTGAAAATCTAATGTGTACTTACGAGTTTTTAGTACCTACGTAAACCGACAAAGTTATATATATATATATATATATATAAATTATTGAAAACTAGCACCAGTTCCTGTTTAGCTTTCTTGGAGAGAGCTCTATATTTACTGGAGAAGCTCCTGTAATCATGAAGGCTCTCCTTTGGATATCAAATCCCAATGAAAATAAATGGATAATAGCATCGGACTACATTAGCGTCATGGCATCAATTGATAATCCATTACCAAACAATTCCCTAATAAGAGATATATAAAGAATGATCAGTGTAGTATTTGTTTGGGTTTCATTTCACAGTGGTATCTCAGGCAATGAAAGAGCATACCAAGCAGCTAATTTAGTAAGGAAGGATCCCAACCATAATTTCAATAAACTGCACCACAATAGAAGACTTGGCCGACGAGACAAAAAGGAAGTTGTTGGAATACTGGGAAAACAAATGGAAAACTAAATTGTCTAAACTAAAAGAAATAAAAACGGAGTGCAACAAATGGTCTACAATCACAAGAAAATCCAGAAGAGAGGAAACCATATTGTGCCGAATACGAATTGGTCACTGCCTGTTAACTTACGGGAACCTTATCTGCAAATACTTAGTACTTAAAAGCACCCACTTGCCAAACGTGTGACGATAAACCATAGTCGGTCAAACACCTATTAGTAGAGTATCATGAGAAAAAATGGACAAAAACTGAAATTACCAATAACAACGAAGGAAATATTGGACGGAGTCACCACTCAATTCCAATACCTAATAGAAACTCAATAATAAAATGGAGTATTAAAAAACCTACCGCCAATGATCCTTTAGGGTACAGACGATTACAAATTAAAAAAAACACACAGTGTTTGCCGATCTGCAGATTGAATACACCCCAATTTCAAGATTTTTCGTAAATAATAATAATAATAGCTGTACGTTACAATGAGATAACGCTATTCACAAAGTTTAAACAGATTTTAATAATTTGATAAAAAGGACTCTGTACCGCGGACTATAATCCCCTTCAAAGATTGAAATGGCAATGTTCCCGAGACTTTTTGTGAATATATTATTAAAGTTCTGGCACTTTCTCCACTCAAATCGTGATGCGGCTTTAACGCACTCACACACTTTCTACTAGCTTATAGTACCAGTGACCCGGCTGTTAGAGAAGCGCCGCGATTTTTTTCAGTCCTGCATTGCCTTTCACATGAGAGGATTAGAGCATGATACAAAGTTCCCTAGGCAGAATATAAATATGAACATGTTATAGTTTTTCTCAGTATTATTATTATCTACTTATTTTTATTTTTTTTCCTTATTCACTTTTTTTTCAATTTGTATTTTAGCTTGTATACATATGCTTAGAATGTACACATAGAGTATACTAGTACCTAATGTCCTTGATAATGGCAGATTTTATAATTATTTTCCTTCTGAGTCCACAGAGCCATCGAATTCCTCACGCATCCAATCCTTACAATCCAAAATCCTTCGTAAAATCCTCAATGCTCCTTACTTTGTCACTAGTAAAATCATCCATTAAGACCTTAATGTTCCTTATGTTTCCGATCTGTCCCAATCCAGATACCTATCCTTCCATGATAAACTTCATAACCACCCGAATCCTCTGTTTCTACCCCTGCTCCCTGATAACCCTCTGAGGCGACTGAAGAGAAGGTGGCCTCGAGATCTTCTATTGTAATTAAATTTTCTGTTATGGCATTTACTTAATGTATTCTTTCTTAATACAGTTGTAAATATCATAAATAAAAAAAAAAAATCTTCCATTAAATGTCACCATTTTGTTTCAGTGCTGCTTACTGGGATCGCGGTAATCTCGGCCTTCCTCTCGGATTGGATTGGACGGAAACCTCTTCTCCTCGTGTCCTGCTTCGGTTGCTTCGCCGCCCACTTCCTCACAGGACTCTATTACTACCTCCATGAGAAGACTTCCATCGACACCAAGCCTTACGTCTGGATGCTCTACCTCGGGCTCACTCTCTACTGCTTCTTTTCCGACATCGGATTAGGACCGCTGCTGCAGACTCTTCAGTCGGAGATGTTCGGGGCTAGTACCAGAGGCTTGGCAGGCGGTATCACGGAAGCCTTAGCCGCCCTCTTCTGCTTCATCACACTGAAGGCTTACACTCCAGTAAACGAAAGTATTGGGGTCTACATGAATTTCTGGTTCTACAGCTCGATGGGTCTTATAAATGGGGTACTCCTTGCATGGCTGATGTACGAGACGGCCGGGAAGACGATCGGGCAGATGGAAAAGCCCAGAGAAAACAAAGTGCACCCAGAAGAAGGTGTAAGACTCGGAGAGTTCACGTCCGAATAGACATATAAAATACAAGAACCAAAAACAGGAGAAGTATAACTCCAGTTGAAGCTCTCCTGAAGCTGTAGAAGAACTGGGTAACGAACAGGCTGTGACACATATCTTAAGAGTAGGAAATTATAATCTAGATCCCGAATTAAGTATATAATAAAAATAACAAAAATTGCCAATTTCTTTAAAACAAAATTAGAGTAATTCTAAGATTATAAACCATTTTGAGCAATCATATTTCAAAGAAGAATTAGTCCATAAAATCTACGTTTTAATATTTGCATACAAAGAATGGCCTACTGGTTACATCAAAGTCTTGAGACAGAATTAAATTTCTTAAAATTGAATTTTTTATTTAAAAATAAAAACGACATTGTTTTGCTTATTCATTTTTAGTAGGACCAGTATTAAATTTAAAATAAATCGTGAATTTAGATTTTGAATGCACCACCGTATTCCTGCAATTATATTTCAACAACAAACTTTTTTAAAAATAATATAACATAAAGCAACATTAAAAAAATATCATATTTAAGCAGTGTATATTACTTATTTGGTAATGATTTTTTTAAATTGGTTCCTTACAGAAAAGTTTTGGCTACTGTACAAACATGAGATGTGTATTAATTTTTTTCTCCAAAACTTGTTGAATTAAAACCAGAAACTATTAGTCACCATATAAAAATATTAAATAACATCTAACTTCTCCCAAGAAAGTAGTACTCCATTGATTAACATATTGGGACCATATGTCGTTTATGGAGAATTGTTTACATGTTTTTTAACATGAAATATACATTAAAAATCCTAATGAATATTTTCAAATTCAAAAAGCGTAGAATTATTTTGTTTGAAATAATGCGCCAAAATAAAAAATGAAGTCTTCATGTCATGAAAGCATCATGTTCCCTTAGGGAACGATAATTTCCTATAATCTTAGAATTAGTCATTAATGTTTCTTCGGGTATTTTAATAGAAAAATTTTGAACTTTTTTAAATTATAATATTTTTTCTTTTCAATATTCAAGATATATGCATATTTTTACTACTGAAACCGTTACATGATAATATTACACTTTAAAAAAATATTATGACCAATTTGTTTCAATCTTCTATATAATAAATAATAAAATCTTCATAAACTTGCAGTTTGGTTACAAGCTTTATTCAATTTTCTGATTGCATTAGTCTCGAATTTTAAATTTGTGACTGTCTTTATTTACAGGGCATATTTATCATATTGAACAATTTTTAACCTGAAATATATATTTTTTAATTGATATGGATGTAAAGTGGTCCAATAATTACCAAAACATTTTGTAAGAAAAGATCAACTGTACAGGATAATGTTTTTTATTTGTATACTTGTAATATAACCATAATTATTTTTATGGTGCTATAATGTGATATAATAAATAAGTTTTTCGTTTTTTTAATTTTTTTTTTATATGAATTGGTGTATAAATCCCCATCACCACATATATTATTTCAGTAAGGGTCGAAAACGGTTTTGTACCAAATATAAGCTCCTGTCATGCTCAAATACCATGAATGGGGTGCCGTTGGATTCAGAATTTCACGGGGGGTTAGCGAATCGTATTCTCCACTTTAGTTTTTCTTTCTAAAATAAATAAAGTCGATACAAATATTTTGCTAGGCTTCAATACTGTAACGGTGGCAGGTCTGTAGATCGATACGGGATAAAGATTGGATCTTGAAGATTTTGATGACTATCAGCCGGTCTCAACTGCGTTTTTTAAGCCCAAAAACGTACTATTTTCGAGATAACGCAAGGCATAGGATTCGCATCCACACAACCTTACATTTATTGTATTACTGTCATTGAATACATGTCTCATTTCGTCGACTTGAAGTCTCTATGATCGAGAGAGGAGGAGTTTATATTATTTAGCGATGGTGTTTTTGATCGGCAAGCCATATCATCGTTAATTTTTCACCTAATCTCAAGATTGAGCCACCAATTTCGAAGGCTTCCTTCTCCTTCAGGCGGGCAAAATAGTCCAATCACCCTGAAAATTCAGACAAACAATTTATGAAAGAAAACAAACTTTATTTGCGAATAACTAAAAAACTTTGTTTGTAGGCGAAAAATAAATTGCTCAACGCATGACTGAAAACCATTATGTTTCTTAGCTACACCATTATAAATCACACATTAGTGGTAAGAAAACCTACCGACCTTAAAACGTAATCATAACAGGCTTTCTCTATTTTACTTAAAGAAGAACTGAAACAATGTTTCGTCATTTATATTTATTTAGTAATTGAGATAGGTAAGATCAGTAATTCAAGTGACTTTTCATGTTTGAAACAGAAGTGGTACTTGAAAATTATTATATAAAGTTTATTTAATAATTGTTGTGGCAATTTGATCCGACCCGATGGCAACATCAGCATTAGTCGTAACCAACTTTTTTACAATTTTGAATACTTAGATGTAGAGAATGAAAAAAGTAAGAATGTGATGTAACTAACACAGTAAATAATATATGAACAATAATAATAATATAAGAAAATAATTAAGATAACATATACATTAGAACAAAAGAAATTAAAAATGAAATCTGTAATATATGAATAAAGTCTAACTAATTAATAATTACTCAAGTCTTATTAAATATAATACAGTGAAGAATAATATGGAAATAGAAATGATTAAGCTAAATTATTAAAACTTCTCAAATAATAACTAAATAAATGACTATGTCTCATCTAATAATAAACTGATTTGAAAATACAGAGATACATACATTTCATAAAAGCAAATGATACATAGTACAATAATTAAAAAGCTGGATATGTCAAAGTAGTATTTAAATTATATATATATATATATATGTACTAATATATACTTTGAGTCATATATAAATTATATATACATATTATAAATTTATAATATATATATTGTAATTATTTATTTAATAATACTTTTAAGAGGTATAGAAACTCCTACCTGCGAAAAATGTACCTCAAACTATGAAACACCTTCTGGTAGAATGTCCCCAATTAGAAAGCCACAGAAAAAAAATAAATTTTGGAAAAACACTAAAAGATAATGAAGGGCGAGTATCTATGGTGTTAAAATTTTTAAAGACTATAAATTACTATAATAGAATATAAAGTATAGAAAACGCCAATGACTCTTTAGGATAGAGGCAAGACAAAAAAATACATTAAAAATTTATTTAAAAAAAAATGTTAATAAAGTTGTTAAAATAAAATCCTTGAATGGGTATTTATTGAACTATCAGATATATTTTTTTTTTAAATTTATTTATTACCAGATCGGCCTGGTGGGCCTTACATGGTTGTTGTAATAATTTGATGATTTTTAACAATTTGTTCTGGTGAGGTATAGTCTCTGCAAAAGACACCCCTAACTATTTATACATTATAATTATTGAATAATTACAATTAATAAAGAGAAAATTATTAATTGTTCATAACATGATGTCTTGGATCAGTCTTCGAGATGAGGTTGGGAACTATCAGATATGAATTTCATTTTCAGTTAATGCTTGTATAAATTTATAAAATCCAAGAAATCACTTAGCAAAGTGTTGAAACTAGACCCTTATTCATTCATCATAAAAAAACGCTGCAAATTATTTCACAATGGTTTATTATTTCCAAACCATTATACATCTAAAGAAACATTACCTTCCTAGTGACAAAGAAAAAGTTATTCCAATTATTGGACTAAATATATATATATATTTTTTAATCGTTAAAAATATGCTTAAAAAAATAGCATTACTTCAGTAACACATTCAAAAACTAAAACAAAGGACATAACCTTTGCAGTGTTACATATGAAAAATATCTAGAGACCATATCTTTGCTTCTAACTGTCCGATTTTAACAATTTTCTTCTTTTTTTTTTTTAGTAAATTTCGTAAACTTTTAAATAACCATATAAAATATCGAAAAAAAAATGTATACCTTTTCATTGAAGTATGTTGTATAGATAAATTTAAAGGGGATCGAGAATAAGACTTTAGCGAAGTTTCATTGAAATCGGTACATTCGTTTAGTCTACTAGTTTACTCTACAGTCTACAGCAACACAGATTTTTCGGTCGCCATCTTGAAAGGAAAAGGCGGATAGAAATGTCGATGAAGGAGGATCATCTTCGGGTGACCTCTAGTTTGAAAGCCAAATTAAAAAAAAAAAAAATAATAATCGGTCTAGTAGTTTCGGAGAAAATACGCGGACGGTGGACGGATAAAAAAATTTTAAAGGCAGGAGATGGTCTGGGGTATTGGTCATGAATAGGCTAAATAGTAGCAAAACTATTTTATTAGAAGCCAACGTTTCGACCCGACTTTGCAGGTCTTCTTCAGGGCTAGAACGGACAAGATACAAAGAGATATAGAGAATTGTGGAAGATAATGTTATAAACAATGTGAATAAGCTTATTCAAATTATAAACAGTAAGTACATTAAAATACAAACAGAGTAAGCTAAGGAACAATATTCTAAAATGAAGTAAATCGATGGTAACAATTATTGTAGTGTAATATAAAATATATATGCAAATGTGAATATACTTCTACAGATTTACATGAGAGATTGAAAGAAAAGGAAAAAGGATATAATATGAAATAATAGCCATAAAGGAATGTGGAGAAAGAAAAGAAAAAAGAAAACCAAAAAATAAATAAATAAGTAAATAAAATTAGAAGAATAAAATTAAAGCTAGGAGTTTCACTTAGAACTGGAAAATCGGGGTAAGGGTAGGTATTGGGAAATTCGCTGACCTAATTGGGTCAATGGGAAAAAACATAGAAAATTAAAGTGTCTAAAATTTGAAGATATGGATACATACAAGGGAAACATACAATATCTATAAAATAACAAATTATAAATATATACATATACATATAAAATAGAATTAAGAGATTATAGATAAGAGTACAATTTGAATAAAAACAAAAATGGAAGAAGTAAAACGTACATAGAAGTAAAATAAAAATTTAGAAATAAGAAATCATGCATTGCAGAACTAATTGAGAAGTATAGAGAGGAAAAAAATTAATAATTATAATTGTGCTTGGTTGTACATATGTAAGAAAATTACAATTTAAATTAAATTTAAAGATTAGATTTATTTCTGGAACATATGGTGCTTGCCAATTATAAAAGTTAAAATTGTTTTCGTCTATAAAAAATTTTGGAAATAACTGCGGTATTAAGAGTTATTTTTACCTAAATAACTAGGCGAACTAAAACATTGAAGCTTAGGTTCGAAGTACCTATGAGTGAGGCGGAATCAGCCGCTGTTACGAAGGAGGCCGAGGCAGCCCAAGCTGCGGCTCGTATGGACTGCTACGACAATGCTCCGTGCGCAGGCAACGAAAGAGGAGCATGGGAACTGGTAACAGGAAGAAAACGAAACATTACTGAAAACAGGGATCCGAGGAAACAGAAAAAACAGGAAGTAGTGGTAACTACTAGCAATAGTTTCCAGGTTCTATCTACTACTAATGACCAATGTCAAACTTCTTCTGCTAATCCACCATCTAATAATACTAAGAATCCACCCCCAATCTACATCACCGGTGTCGAAAACTACGCGGCTCTTGTGTCGTATTTACAATCCAATTCAGGACCAGATTCTTTTTTGCTAAAAACAACTTCTAAGGGAGTAACTATTTACCCCCAGACCCCAAACAATTACAGGCAAATAGTTAACTGCTTGAAAAACAGCGGAGCCGAATTTCATACTTATCAGCTTCCTGAGGATAGAAATCCTCGCGTGGTGATTAAAGACCTTCATCACAATACACCAATTGAAGAGATTAAAAAAGATCTTGAAATATACGGATACAAAATCGTAGGTATTACCAACGCCATCTCACGTTTTAAACGGCCACTACCTATGTTTTTTGTAGATGTAAGTAAGGAAACTTTCAATGAAAAATATTCGATATTACTAAATTATTTTATACAAAGGTTACAATTGAAGAACTTAGAAGGAAGAAACATATACCGCAATGCGTCAGATGCCAACAATACGGTCACACACGATCGTATTGCAACCACGCACCACGGTGCGTCAGATGTGGACTAGGACATGACAGTTCCACTTGTAGCAAAACTAGAGAAACTCCAGCTAAATGCGCTAATTGTCTAGGCGAACATCCGGCCAATTATCGGGGGTGTCAAACCCTTAGAGATCTAAGGGCACAGAGGACCAAGAGGAATCATGCTCACCAGAGGGAATCACCTCCATCTGCAAATCTTCATAATTTCCCGGATCTTCCACAACCTTCGCAAAGCCCATATCAAGAGCAGAATCGGAAGCAGAAGCCTCATCAACAGCCCCAACAGCAACCTCCAGTGCAACAGCAGAAGCCAATACAGAAGCAAACGCAACCGCAAGCTCAGGAACTGCCTCCATCATCAGTAAATC